ACGTCTAGACACGACTGAAAAGCATTGTGTCAGATGCTTCTACTCAAGAAAAATCTGGCAATTTTGGAGGTGTAAACTACTTGCAGGTAATTTGCATAATCTGTATGGTGCACCCAGGAAATTCTACTTACACAGGTGTGTAACCCAACTCTGAATACACATATCTTTCCCGGGTAAATATTGGCATAACTTTTTGACTTACATTGCCGAATCTGAATACAACCCTAAGATGCCACTGCCTCTTTACAAGAGTTTGCCAACTGCAAAAATTTAAATGAAAACTGGTTGGTGTAATGGTTAAGTACTGGTTGCTATTTAAAGGAAAAGGAAACACATTTTACTCTGATTTACCATACATAACCTTATCTATGCTCTGGACAATAATGCATTAAATGTTAATTGTTTAAAGATACAGAATATTCATTCTGCAGCAATGTCCTGGTTTAGTCAAATCATAATGGGTGAACCTGGAAAGGCTTTGTGACTTCAAATAAGAGATGGTAGATGGATGTTTGCATTTTTCCTAATACTGCAGAGCTACAAGAAGACAAGCGGAAACATCAAGGTACAGGGTTAGAAACACGTGTCTTAAAGTGAAGTGGGAACTACTTGACCTTTTATTCCTCTTTTGATGGTAAAAAAGCACCACTAACGGAAGCTGGCTGACGTTCACTGACTCTAAAGAGCGCAGAGAGAGCACACATATTACGCCGGAATACAGCTCCACAAAAAGCTCTAAACAAACCCAACTGAAAGGGGTATCAGAAATTATTACTCAAATTATATACATAAATGTAGTATAATGTAGTTTACATCTGCTATATGGGAATAACGATAGACCTATTAAAACACCTTGGTTATGCAAAAAGGAAGGCACTGGTTCTCTCTCCTCTCCCTCTGCCCACTCATACATACATACATACATACATATACACACACACACAGTTTCAACCACACACTGCGTCAAGTGACTGAGTTCCAATGAGCCATGTCCTGTGCTCAAGCTCCAAGCTACAATTCAGTGTTGCAGAAACATTTGCTTTAATAGGAAGTAAAAAAAACAAAGAGAACATGGAAACAAAGTGAGTGAGCAAGAAAATATAAATTTCATTCTCAACATATGAATGAATGAACAAATGAATGAATGAACTATCCAATTAACTAACCAGCCAACAAGCCATCCAGCCAACCAATCAATTAATTAATGAACCAACCACTCACTCACTTATGTACTCAGTTAACCAACTAACCAACCAATAAATTAATTAATCAGAACTATCCATCCATCCAAACAATTCGCCAAGTCACCAACAAATTAATCACTCACTTTTTTGATCAACTAATCAACCAGTCATCAACTAGTGAACCTACCATCCAACCAACAAACCAGTCCAACAGCCACCCAGACAACCAACCAGACAAGCAACCAACCAGCCCAACTACAAATCAGCCAAATGCCCAAAAAACCAACCAACCAACCAAGTCAACTGATCAACAAACCACCAGCCAGCCAAGCCAGCCCAACAACCAACAAACCAACTAGCCATCAAATCAATTAACCAGCCAATAATTAAATTAACCAATCAGCCAGTCTAACAACAAACCAACAAGTCCATCAACAAACTAGCCAACCATCAAATCATCAATCAACCAACCAAACATTAAATCAACCAATCACCCAATCAACCAAGCAAGTCAACATCATCAAACAACCAGCCAACCAACAAACCAGCCCACCAACCAAACAAGCCAACCATCCAATTATCAATCAACCAACTAACTATTAAATCATACTATCAGCCAATCACCCAAATAACCAACCATGTCAACTAATCAACAACCAACCATCTAACAAGCCAACCAACCAACCAGTCAACCAAATGACCAACCGATCAACCAGTCAACCAACCAACCAACCAGTCAACCAATCATCCACTCAGTCACTCAACCAATAAATTAATTATTTAATCAGAACTATTCATCCAACAGTTGCACCACCAGCCAACTAATTTCTCATTCAATTGATCAATCAACCAATCACGTACTCCAATCAATCAACCAAGTCAATCAATTAACTGATTAATCATCTAGCCAATCAATCAACCAACCTACCAACCAATCAATCAATACAACTCACTCAAAATATAAATCCAGATCAACTCAACATATTACCCCACTAACAGAACTATGCTTTGCTTGTTCCAAATTTTATTTAGTGGTCCATACTATTGTCATTACTGCTAATGCAATACAGCCTAGACAACTAGGCACCACACATACAAAATCCAACAGTGACCTACAGTTATTTACATTACAGACAATGCTCAGACATTTAACTAACAGCACAGCTGTAACAGCATTTAGCTCCAGCCCAAACACTGCCTCGTTTACCTGTGATAGCCCATTAGAGAGCCTTTAAAATTCATTAGTGTATCATAATCATCTTTGTGATCTCTTTTAGACAGGAGATCTTTAAGCAGTGTTAGAGGTACAACTGCCTTTTTATGGCCCACAAGGAAGCCCAGAAGGGCCATTTACAAAATCAGCACAAGAAACGATGCTGCAGAGTATCAACGTAGAGACACTGTACTCCAGGCATCTTCAGACAGACTGAGAAGCTCTCTCAGATTTCATTCAGAATGACAGACTGTGCTTTTTCTGTTATACATGAACTTCAAAAGCCTTTAAAAAAATGTATTCATTTATTCCTTTTATGTTTTGCACAGGTATGATGGCAGGAGATATGTAAATGTAGGGTGGCCTAGTAAAAGACCCACTTAGTAACCTACTTAATTAACTCATTATATAATTAAAACAAATAATTAAGAGTATCATTTATTTTCCCCTTTCGGAAGGTCACGTGTGTAAGTCCATCACATGCCCTCCTCTGGTTCAAGGAATCTGAATTCTCACATGGATTGCTAGTGTATGTGTATACACAATATACCGATTGTCCAAGAATTCCATTTTCCCATGGGCGGCCATGGCCTATGGGTTATGCAAGCTGAGTTTGGCTATGAAGGCCGTACTGTGAAAGAAAGAGCTGAGCTTTTATAATTTCAACCTCCTAGACCCAAAATCAAGAGAGGTTTGACTATCTGCTCAGGTATACATATAGTATATTCTACTATATATATGATATCGGTCAATATCTATATATTACATACTATTATAAGTCATGTGACTGCAGCTGTGCCAGAGTTATTTATAGTGACCTTTCAGATACTGATATAACAGTAACGACAGCAATGCAGCGTTCTAGCATTCTAGGCCAAGCTCGAGGCAATCCTACGCTGCCTCATGACCAAGAGACTTGGTGATAACATCGAGCACACAGTCCTATTCATTGAGCACGTGCAGCAGCTCGGGCCAAAAGTCAGTCACGAGCAGTGACAGGGAATGGCAAAATACCAGAAAACAGGACATGATATGAAAACATAAAGGCTGAGAACCATTTATAAAAATGTGTAGTGTTGTAGTAGCATTTTTGCGATCAGAAATTCAGAAAATCAGAAATTCAGATATTAAGCAATACAGGACACCAACACAACTGGATGTCAACTAGTGGGCAGCAGTCTGGGTGCAGACCCACCAAAGTATTTCAGTGGACCAAAACCAAGTGGACCAACGTGAAAAATACTGTGACTGAGCCTCTCTCTCTCTCTCTCTCTCTCTATATATATATATATATATATATATATATATATATATATATATATATATACATACACACATATATAAAATAAAACTGGCCAGCATTCAGCAACTCTAACTGTTCAATGCATGAACCATTGCAGCTTCTGTAGCAGGTGCTCTCTTATGGCTTGCTCAAGATTCAAGAGTCTATTGTCATATTTACAGGAAACAGTCTGTTACAGAGTACAATGAAATTCTCCATCCAATTCCATCCAAATTATTTAACTGAAGGCAGCTCACTGGACCAGAGACTCGCTACAGCGTTTGTATCCCAGAAAGGGGAGTTTTCAAAGACTTTTATCATTTTATTTACCCTCTGTTGACTGATTTGTTTTGACGATGAAAATAAAATGGAAGGAGAAGTATGTGTCTATTCTCCCCGTCAAATTCAAAAGACATCTTGTCTGTTGAGTCTGTGGGTTAAAAGTGGCAAAAAACCAAAACATAACCACTTTGAATTGTGTTACTTATAGCCATAAAGTTTGTCACCATTGAGTCATGTTAGTTGCTTATCCAAATCCTTTAAATGCAAGAAATTTTAAGTAATTAGACCTTTACAAAATTTAGTTGAATATCCTTGTCCTATAATTCATAGGGTCGACCCTACACTGTAAACATGATTGAGCTGGTTAGGATAAGCTTAAATGTCACGTTAGCTTCAATGAACACTTCACACGTTGACATTAATTGCCGATCAGCTACCCTATCTTCAGGCCTGTCCGCCCCCATCAGTGCACTTACACTTGATGAGATCTTGCAATTCCAAAATCATATTTTTTTCATGTCAGCTTTGACAAGATTGCATCTGGAAAAGAGCTCACTGTTAATTTCTGTCATTCGTCACCATGATGTACTGACCAATTCAGGATTTTGAACAAAAACTGGAAGAGGATAAAGCCTTTGTAAATTCTTTAGAGAGTCTATGAAACTGTGCATTGGTGTTAAGGGAGAAGGTATAAATATTATTCCACAGTGACAGGAATACCGTTGAGCCTGTCATCCTGCCATCAATCAGCACAGAAAGTCACAACCTAATAACTCTCTTTGAAACCTTATATACATAGATATTGCTGTAATTTTCATGACAGGTTCAAAAGATACACTGACAGAATTTGGCAGAGTCTAACATCTAAACTGAACCACATTTTAAATGTATTTTTTCAGACAATGTTTTCTTACCAAATGTGCTTCATCATTTACCTGTTTTGATGTAATTTGTGAAAATGGATTACATAGAGTCAGGAGTAGGATAAAATTATCTAGTTCTATTCTTGATTTAGCAAGGGTGTCACTTGATAAGGGGGGCAGTCATGGCCTAATGGTTAGAGCATCAGCCTTATAACCCAAAGGTCCTGGCTTCAAGTCTCAGGGCCGGCAGGGCTCGTAGGTGGGGGGAGTGAACAACCAGCACCCTCCTCCACCCTCAATACCACAACTGAGGTGAGACCCCTGAGCAATTATTGTATTTTCATAATTATCTTCTGGGAAGGTACCACTGATTTTAAACAAGCTGCTATAAAGCCTATAATAAAATGTAGATGTAAAAAGAAACAGAAACACAATTTAGGGGAAAAAAATACTAACATGTTTGTCTAAAGTCCTCAAAAGATTGCCCTTGTAACCTGGAAGAAAATCTATTTCATATAATATATTAGCTCAGGTAATATAATATATAATATATATGATATAGCTATATAATAGCTCAGGTGTTCCCCAGGGTTTGGTGTTGGGTCTTATTTTATTTTATTTTTTTCACCTTTTTCTGCTTTGGGGAATATTATTCATCTGTGAGTCATTTATTTCTCATCGCTATGCTGATGAATGTGAGCTTTACATTAATCACAGTCAAATACACAACTCGTTTTATTTTTAGGCTACACAATATCTTCAGGACATACAGTACAGGACAGGAGATCATGACTGGTTGGAGTCTAGTAGCAAATTTGAACTTATTTTCCTTAAAAAAAAAGGGTGTAACCCTAAATTTGTAATAAAATGAACTAAGGACTAAGTGGTTTTTTTCTTCTTCTTTATATTAAAGGCGTGTCGCTCCAACCCGTGCTCTGATGTCTGGACTTAAAAAAAAGAAATTCATTTAATTAAGGTCAAGATTATTCCACAGCTACAACTCCAGTTTATTTGCAAGATGTTCTGCAACATAACTGCATCTGTGTCTTTAATTGTCCCAAATATGATGTGATCAAACTATGGGTGATCAGTAGCCTTCAGAGTAAAGTAAATGAAGATTCCTAAGGCAGGATCTTAAACATTTCCTTTAAACATCATTTTCCATTGTAGGCTCGACCTGCCTTAAGGAGCACATGAGGAGAAACAAAACACAAAACCTTGGGATGTAAATGGCAAAGGCTGCGTAAAAGATGGTACCATGTCCTATCGGCTGTGGTGGGCACCAACTTTTAGGCAGCAGTATCCTGGCATAGTGGCATCAAAGCAGGTGATGCCGGCAGTAAACTAACTGATAAGGAAACCTGGACAGGTCATTGGGACCAATCTGGACTCCCTGGAATCAGTTTTGCAGGACATGATGCTGGCTAAACTGCTGCTTATCATGAACAATGTCTCTCATCCCCCTCCATGAACACCTAGTCATGCAGTGGCACACATTTAGCTCCAGACTGATCCAGATACGGTGCAGCAAAGTGCAGTACAGGAGGTCTTTCATACCCACCGTTATCAGATTGTACAACTCATCCACTCTGTGTTAGCTGTGCAGTAAAGCAACATTTATCACATTCTGCAGCACTGTATTTATTATTATTATTATTATTTATCCTTTCAAGTCTAATAACAGTCACCTTATGATCATCTCCTGGACTACTACCACTTTACTGATTTTCGTTGATACTGAGCATTTTACTTTATTTGATTCTTATTTACTTAGTTTACTGTTGTATAGGTACTGTAATCTGCGTTCTCTGTGTAATCTCTCTGTAGCCTGTGTCCTTGTAATTTGTTGTTTATTGTACTGCTGCAACAAAACAGTTTCCCTCAGGGATCAATAAAGTACTCTAAAAGTAACTAGCTAGCTAATAAAAATTATCAAAATGATTAATGCACAGTGGTCTTTGCAACGGGTTTTCAGCACTGAACTCTTGCCTTTTAAGAGTATTTTCAATTTCCGAAATAAGCCTCTTCAGTCTGCAGTGCTAAATAAACCATTGCATTGTTTTTTTTGTCCTTAGTATGCTATTGTTCCCAATTAAAACAGCTGTCCCTGTTGATCTGGAATGCTCATATCTTTGTCCGTCCATTAGCAGAAATGGCCATGGGCGAGAAACCTCTAAGCAACATTAAAAAAAAATCCATTGCTGTCGGTTCCCATAAGGATCTCTGTCATAAAGGAGAGACACTGTCTGTCCTAAGGCTCATCTTTTTAAAGAGCTATTAGCCTTGTGCTGCAGCCCAGTCCTGTCCTTGAAAGTAATGAAAACAGCATTTCCTGCTCAATGAGAGTCCGAGCTTTGTTGAGCAGTAAACCTTGGCGCACTTTAATCAAAGTGCTGAGATGAGGAAATATTCGGTAGGTTTCTGGTGCTTGGGGGAAGCTACAGGATGGCAATATGCTATTCTTGCATTTTCTCTGGAATAGATCTCCTGATTTTACACTCCGGCAACAATTCGAGCTGCAGCTTGCCACGCAGGGGCGTCTCTGATGACTTCTAAGCTCGGCTCTGATCTTCCCCCTTTTTCCAAGGGGGAAAAAATAGGCGCGAAATCCGCAAGCTGTTAGTAGCGGCAGAGGACATTTTTCCCGCAAATGGCTCCGCAGTTTATCAGATTGCATCTTCCCTAAAGGCAGCATTTTAATATGTTCATCCAACCTAGATTTCTGATTTCAGCACCTTTCCCTAGTAAACAGGACCAATCATTCAGATGTATCAGTTTAAGAGTCTGTCCATTAGGAAGACAGAAATGAGTCAGCTGCCGTTCGGGATGTGACCTCTCAGTCACAGCGAGAGATTCAGGACTGCCACAGAGAGACAGACAGCCAGGTTGGCAGCTTTTGACCATGACTACAATCATGCCATCTGACACAGGGATGGAGGACAGCAGTGTGGGCTGGGCATGTACACAGTTAACAGCCTGATGCCATGGCCTCTGCCTCAATCTCAGGGGCCATACTGTGTTTTGAACAAACCTTAGCCCTGAAGCATGTACTGATTCACAACATTCATACATAATGAGGATGCTTCATAGCTGAAGGCCATGACTGCTCACCTGGGCATGTCTGACAGGGTGTAAGGTGACATCTAAGGCAGGGAGAGGTTGTCAACTGGCAATCCATGGTCTGGATGAAAGCCCAACAAAATATTTGACCAGACCAAAACTTGAAAGCACTTGAAAAATTGCAACAGAGCCGATCAGCTGGGAAAATGGTGGTAGTTCAGCAACTCCAGTTTTCTAAATATAAACCATCACTGTTCGTGGTTTCTGCAGCTGGTCCTCTGCACGGCGTTTACCAACATGACACTTTTACAGCATTTGTCCATCTTTAGTAAGTGCTTGATCCTGGTCAGACAGTTTTAGTGACTAATTTGCGGGGATAGTGGTATTCATCAGATCATCAAGAAATCGAGACTTCAAATCCTAATGATTCCATTGGCAGACATGGCTCTCTGTGTGGGAGGCATGGTGTAAACTCTGTCCCCTGTCAATCACAGGCACACTAGCCAATCCTGGCTGTCTGTGAGCTCGAGTATGCAGAAGAGGGAGGATAGCGCTCTCCCCCGATTGTGAATGTAGTATGAGCAGCAGCCCGGAAAGATGCAGTCAGCTGACTAAGCAGGAAGCACATGTTAGCCTTCACCCTCCCTGGTTTTTAGCTGTTGCTTGATAGGGGAGAGCTGGCTGGGCAGTGGGAATAGGCAGATGACCAAATTGAGGAGAAAATGAGGAAATAACAACTACAAATTGTATCGTTATTTTTCGTGTGTTTTTTTTTTTTTTTATTGTTATTTTTCGTGTGTTGAGTGTGCTTATGTATTTTTATAACCCAGTCTTTTTCTAATGTCTGTAATGTCATGCATTGTAGAGCTGAACCATGGTCCACCTCAGAGGCTCAATATTTATCTATAGACAGTAATTTATTTATTTTTTTACTCAATTCAAGGCATGCAGACTTAGTGTTCAGACGGTGTAGTGCTGCGCTGAAACCTTTTCTTTTTCGAGGTGAGCAAAACAGTCGCTGCTGTGCAAGTCCGACACTAATCTACCAGCTGCTCAGTGACTGTGAAAAGGAAAAGTGAGAAGAACCACAGACAAATGCTTCACAAGTGACTGAATCTGTATTTATATATCTCAGAAGGAGCGAAGATGAGTCACACGCATCCAGACAGAAAAAAAAAAAGAGAGACAGAATCCCCATTTGCAAAGGCGAGCCACGACGCCCGACAGACTGCCAAGTCCACGCTGTTCATTTGAGATATTGTGAATAAATATATACGCTCTGAAACACACACACACACACGGAGAGGCTAACACTACTGAGGAAAGAGAATATTAACATTCGAGTAGATTAGATTTGTGTTGCGGTGTACTCACAAAGTTACTTTTTCCTGACCTAATTGGAATCTGTCACAACATATACTCCTTAATAGCCATCACCGAGCTCGCCTTACAGTGTGTGTGTGTGTGTATGATATCAGAGTTGAAAAATTTCCAAGCTCAATCGTCTCTAAGCGTGCATTTCGCATGCCATTTGCTTCCCCACCGCTAATCATACTCTAACTTCAGAGCTAGCTAACGGAACAGCACTAGCTTCTTCCCCCAGGCTTCCTCCGAGTCCCCTGAGGGAGGCTGCAATATCTGAGAGAAACCGGGTCCGTGACTCACCACTGGATCCTGAGGCCTTACAAACATCTTAAAAGGAGAGTCCAGGAACCTCAGAAGAGCAAGAGGCCAGATCCGGATTCATCCGTATGGAACGAATCCAATCACGAGGAAAAGAAATCGGAGAAGAGAAAAAGCAGCAGCCAAGACGTATCGCAGGTTAAGGAGACAGAACTCTGGAGACTCGCTCAGAGGAAGAGCAGAAAATGAAACGTGGTGATGGTTGAAGGTCAGAGACTACGAAAAAAGGAAAAACTGCATCCACAGAAAGACGAGTGTAATCAGAGACCACACTGTCACAGCTGCGATACACATCACAGCTTTTTTAGAATATGCATTGATTTAATATGTTATATTTTATATCTTATATACTTTTCAAATTTTATATTATAACATAATATAAACTAACGCAAAACTATATTTTGTCAATTTACGTCATTTCATACTTGGATAATTCGGACTCCTTTAAATCTCTTTGTAAATGACATTGTTAGACAAACATATTTTTGGCCATGATTCTTTTTTTC